ATGCCTTCAATGCTGGAAATCACACAAAGATCCATTGCCTCTGTGAGGCTCAGGGCCAAGGTGGGATGACTAGGAGAGCTACCTCACTGTTGCTGTCTACTGAATCGGGGCTCCTGGTCAGGACAGCACAAAGAGCCAAAGGGTTAGTTGGATATAGGGGACTGGGGATAGATACCCTTAAAGGAAGTAAAGCAAATACACAATCAGTCAACAAGAATTTCGTGAATACCTCCTTGTGCTTAAGTCCATGCTGGGTGTTTTAGGGGCCAATCGGTTTACAACTCTTGTCCTTACTTTCAAGGATCCTGCCAGTAACCTGGGATGCCTAAGAAAACTGGTATCTCCTCAACTTAGATTCTACCTCTTCCAGAGGTAACAAATCATAGCATGATGGTGAAGCTTGTAGACTCTGGAACATCTGCCCAGGCTCAAATTCTGTTTTGTGTTCTACTAACTGTGTGATATTGGACAAGTTACTTAAATCTCTATGCCTATTTTCTCATTAGAAATTTTTTTTAAAATAATAATAATGGTGCCTATGTTGGAGGAATGATGTAAGGACTAAATGATTTAATTCATGTAGCATGGCTAGATAGTTCCTGGCACTTAGTAAAGACCAGATAAATGGTAGTTGGCTAGATAGTTCCTGGCACTTAGTAAAGACCTGATAAATGGTAGCAATTATGATTATTCATTGCAGAAGGGCAATGTTACCCTACTTGGTATGGTAATGCCCAAAGGTCAGCAATCTTGATCAACATCTACATTTCTCTCCAGAGACCATAATGGTCGCCATTTTGAGAATGTACTCTGCACCAGAAATCATAGTAAGTCCTTCCAGATGAGGAAACTGAGGCTCTGAAAATTTCATGTCTCACCTAATGTTTGCCAGATGCCAGGAGTTTGTGGTCATACACACTCACTAACAGAACATTTTTCATTCTTAAATGTTTGAGCCAATAGAACATTTGAGCCAAGTAAAATTTCTCCAAAAGACTCTTTTCTAAAAATAGTATTGGGGGACTAGAGATAAGAATCCTGATCCAAGACTCATCCATTTCTCCATCAGGCTGCAAATCTCTCTTGCTAGTGGCATCATCTATGAATTTACCTCAATGTCGTTTCTTCGCTGTCATGTTTTCAGCCTACACTGCCCACTGGGGTGGGTGGTAAGGGTGGCAGATAGAGGGAGAGAAGGTAGGACTCCAGAAACGTTGGCCCAGGTTAAAGAGGGCAAGTTCAAGGAAGAGCACAGAATCTATTACATCTAGTAGGAAGAACTGGGGAGGAGCCTCGAGCCCTATGTCAAGTGGCTTGTCTTTGAATTCACGTCCATGGTACATGCATGTATTGAGTGTGTTCTTTGTCCCAAGAGCCATACTAGGTACCAGGAAGTCCACAAGGTACCAGAATTTCCACTCTACAGTGAGACAGAGTATGTCTGCAACGACCATAAGACCCAGGGATCTTGAACCAACAGAGAGGCTAAGATCCCCTCAGAAGGCAGTGCTGAGGCCAGAGCAATAGGAGAGAGGCTCAGGCCGACCTGAGCTCCTCTGTCTACAGTGTGATTTTAACCCTGGAGAGCTCTGAGTTCAACGCAGGCTTGGGCACCGTGCAGCTGGGTGACACCCAGCAAGCCTGGGACCTCTGTTTCTTCATCCTGAGAAGAGAGTAGTGATAGCTAATTCCCAGCGTTATTATGAAAAATAATCACAGTAAGACAGGTGAGCATTTTAGCACAATGCCTGACACATGATAGATGCTCTATGTGTATATGATTCTTTCCTCTCTGACCCCACACAACCACCCCAGGAACACCCAGACACTGGTTATCACAGTAGTTAAAAGGACAGGCTTTGAAGGCAGGCAGGCTGGACTAAAATACTTGTTCTCCCATTTATGAGCAGTGTGACCATGGGCGAGTTACTTAACCTCTCTGTGCCTCAGTTCTCTCATCAGTAAAATGGGCATAGTAAGTAATCCTCTCATCAAAGAGTTGTGAGAATTTAAGAGAATGAATGTATTAAAAGACAAGCTGAGGCATATGTAAAGTTTTCAAGTGTTTGAGTAAACACAAACTCTAATCGGGCATCGCCAAACTGGAAGTAGTCAGCCGACAAGAGCTGGAGGAAGGCCTTTTATAGAACAGACGTGGCAACAAAGTAAGGAAATTATTTGATAGGCTACAGATTAAGCACTTGCCTCATTTGGGAAAGGCTACTTGGCTGTTTGTGATTGATGGTTTCTAAATTTCTTTTTTTCAGATACCAGCGCATTCATAATCGAGTCTAGCTTAGGTTTCGGTTTGCTGACACAGGCCACCAACCACGAGAGCCACTGAGGTCTAGTGGCCTCCTTGTTTAATTACTTTGACAAATCTAACAGCACACAGATAATAGAGCGCACCCTTATGTAGGGCTCCAGCCTCCTCGCAGGTTTTAGTTCATTTAATTCACACGACCCTGTAAGTGATGTATTCTTCTTGCCCATTTTTCAGATGAGGGAATTGGGAGGACAGGATGTTAAGTAAGCTTCCCAGACTCACTCGGCCAGCAGGTGGCCAAGCAGGGACTCAAACACAGGAAGTCTCCTTCCATAATCTGGTCTTAGTCACTATGTTGCTCTTACCAGCCTAATTAGTGTGACGTTGTGACTGCGCAGTTGACACAGCCTATCAGGAGGATAGGCTGGATATTCTAAAATGCTCTGCACCTCCTTCTGCTCTCCTCTTCCCCATCCCCAGCCTCCACCTCTTGTCCTTGACTGACATTCATAATACAGTTTTTATGCACTTCGTGTTTGATGTTATCTAAGATCTCCACTCTAATCAAATTTTGGTTCAATGTGATAGTTAGACTTAATTAGAGTCAAATTCCTCTTTTATTTTGGTTTTATCTTAATCACCCCCTTTATCCACTGGCCCAGAAGCCTGTAATTTCACACACAGGCCCTCGGAGATGCCGTGTTATACATTCAGGACCATGAGACAAGCAGAGTTTGTTGTCACACATATCTACTGCCATAAAACTCACTCTGAAATAGTCGAGCTGAGACAGCATAGGAAAAAGAAATGTAATTCCTCCAGGGGATTCTTTTTTTAAAAACAACAGCAGAACACTATGCTTTGCTTGCAAAGCTCTCCGCTGAAAAGAGTGTGCGCGCACAGGTCCAAACGTGAGAAGCTTTCAGAAACCAGTGACAAGATGGGAAGTACCCAACGGCAGGGAATATGTGGGACCATCTCATTCCCTAGACACCAAGGAGCAAGACTCAAACCACAGAATGTTAGAGCTTAAAGGATTCTCAAAGACCATCTAATCCATTTCTTTGCAAACTCTTTTTAAGTGCACATTCTTTTGTTCAAATGAAATCTTACCCTGGAGAGTTATGTAAGAGCTGAAGTGCCCTTATTGAATCAGGGAGGAGAGGTCTAGAGCCTAACCCACGGGGGCCCCCATCCTCCCATCCCCAGCAGCCCTTATGGGGGCTCCCGGGAATCCCTGGGGTTTCCCAGGAATTGTCCGAGTGAATTTGAAAATTGCTATTCTAATCCAAACTCCTCCTTTTACCATGGGAGGAAATGAAGCCCAGAGAAGCTGCCCAATTTGCCTGAGGTTACACAGCAAGTCAGTGGCCTTATCTTCCTTTGACAGTTTTTCCATGACATCCTGAGCCCGCCAATGAACAGCCTTTTGTTTCTCCAGACTGTACGTGTGTTTGTATTTGTGCATTTGTACCCATGCCCAGGGTTCCCAAGAAAACCTAACAAACCAGTCTCTGCTTTCCCTTTAAAGCTTGGAGTCTGCAGTTTGGACAGTGTCTTGGCTGCCCAACTGTGGAAGCACAGGGCAAAGAAGGTATAGCATTATAAATGCCTCCCATAGACCATCGGGGACACTGTGTTTCACAACCTAAAGGAGGTCAGGTTTCTGCTCTCCAGGGGGGGTACTACGAAGCAGGGGTTGTCATTGAGACACCAGAGAACTGACAGGCAAGTCAGGCCCCCAGCCTAGTAGCTTCAGACACCTGACTGGGCCACTAAACCTCTTTTTCCATCCATCTGATTGGGCCACTAAATCTCTGTCTGTAAGGGGAAGGGGAAAGGGAGAAAGCCGCCACTTGTCTCATTGCATTTGAAGATGTTAGAAGTCAGATAAGCTCCTGTGTCTGATGCTTTTGGGAGAGAAGGTGGAAGAAAGGCCCTGCCTGAGTTTTACAGGCTGGCCAATGCGTTCTTCGCGTTGCAAGGCTTAACGTTGGAGGAAATGGTAGAAGAGGTGGTGGTTTCGAATGGATGTGCTCTGTCAAGGGAAATAACTCACAAGGGGCTTACTCAGCGCTTCCCCTGCATTACCTCACGGGACCTCCCCCCCAGCAGCCCAGTGGGTAGGTACTGTTGTTTGCCTTAGGGCCAGTTATTAGCGAGCTTGCTAAGTTATTCAAGGTGACACAGCTAGGAAATGACGAGCCTAGAATTTGAATCCCAAACCATCTAGCTGCAAAGCCTGTGTTCTTAACCAGTGCCCCATCCTGCCCTTGCCCCCCACCCCCAGTGTGGGGGTGGGGAGGTGGGAGTAGGGGGAATGACATGGTATACAGAAGAGCAGGACTCCGCCAGCCCAGAAGGGAGGCGGCAGAGACAGATACCAGGGCTGAATTTCAGAGTTTCCCCTCCAGCTTGCATGAACGAGAATTCCCAGCAAACGCGCTGCACACTGCACACTCCCCACAAAGCTCCCAGAGGCAAGAATTCTCAGCTTGTTTACTGAGTCCCCTGGAAAGGGGGGAGGGAGGGAGGATGGGGGCAGGCGGTGAGCTGGGCACAAAAACAGGATAAAGGTAAACTTTCTGCATGTGAGAACCATTCCCCCCCTCCAAGGAGCCATGTCACACTGTATGTCACCGTCATCAAAGGGGCTGTGCGTAAACCTGAAAAACCAAACGGACCTGTCTGTAGGTGTTACTTATATCACAAGGCTACAGGTGCCTTTATTTCCACTGTACGCTGGTGCTGGGAGCGCCTGCCTTCTCTTGCCTTGAGAGCCTCCTCTTTGGACCTAGTCACCGCTGTCCTCACGTAAGCACCTTTTCTTTGCTCTTTTGGAAGAATTGTAAGGGGTGTCAGGGCTTAGAGGCTCGGGCCAGGGCCTGGATCTGTTCATCTTGTCTCCAGCCCCCCTTGCCAGTTCCATCGGTCACAAAGTCTCCTGGGAGCTGTTTGACTGGGATTTCAATGCTTGCCCGAGAGAGTCATTTTTGCCTCCTCGGGCTGTGTCACCAGCCCCTGCTAGGCACCCCCACGTGCTCCGGATTGTTTGATTAAACCAAGGGCGACTAGTAGAGAATATGTACAGGCACTCAGTTCTCTACCCTTTCCTAAAGCTGTCTTTAGGAAGGGAAGCTAGATTTTGCACCAAAAAATATTCAGCTCCAAGGAGAGCCTACCATCCCCCCGTCTAAACTTCTTTCGCCATTGGCCTGCTCATGGCTCCCCCTTGATACAGAGGAGAGAGCTGCTTTATTACAGTTTGGGGCATTTTTCAGGAATCTGTGTGTACATGATAGCTTAAAAGAAACCCATTGTGCCCTCTCCCACCACCTCAGTATAGACCACTTCCAGAAAAGCAACGCTTAGGGTTTTTCCACTGTATTCTCAGACCTTTTCAAAGACTGCCGGTGTGTGGTTCGTGTGCATTTGCCCCCTGCTGGCAGCCACCGGTAGCACAGGCCCCCTTCTCCCCTGAAGTCCGGGTTCCCGCGTTTGGACGAACTTATGAATTTTACAAACTGGAAAGGATGTCCGAGGTCATAAAGTACAACCTCTTCAATTTACATATTAGGAGACTGAGGCCTAGAAAAATAAAGTGATTTAGGAAGACAGCTTCGTGTTTTAGACTCAAGGCCCAGGGTGGGGGGCTGTTTGCTCCTCTGAGTGAAAGCTTAATTCTTTGTCCTCATGTTGTCTCTAAGAAAGTTTTCATAATACAAGGTCTTCTAGGCAGGCACTTTGACAGCTACAGCTCTGTTGTCTTTTTTTCCCCCAGAAGTCACCAGTGTAGCAATATTTTAGATATACTGACGACAGATGATTTTTCTCCCCTCTGGCACAGGAATAAATCTATTATGCCTAGACGCCTGCATATATTATCTGATTTTATTAAATCCTCGGGACATCATGAGGATTGTGTGTTAAAATTCCAATGAAAAAATGTTTTAATGTGTATTTATTTTTGAGAGAGAGAGAGAGCAAGTGAGCATGAATGGGGGAAGGGCAGAGGGAGTGGTTGACACAGAATCTGAAGCAGCCTCTAGGCTTCCAGCTGTCAGCAGAGTCCGACACGGGGCTCAAATTCACAAATCCCAAGATCATGACCTGAGCCAAAGTCAGACATTAAACCCACTGAATCACCCAGGCACCCCTAAAATCCCATTTTAAAGGTAAAGCATTTTAAAGATGAGTCCAGAGAAGTGCATGGGTTTTTATATACTGTACCTTGTATGAAACAAAAATAAAGAATTTTGACAGGCTGGGTAGTAAGAAATGTGGCCCAGGTTCCTCACCCTTGTGGGTGGCAGAGAGAGAATCTGACCCCCAGAGGATTTAATCCAAAGCTGATGAGCTTTGCATTGGAACCCACAGTAAACCGTGGGGCTCACCTTCTGCGGATCTTTGCCACACTTTCGGAAAAACAACTAAGAATGAACGAACTAGCAAGCTCCCAACAAGGAAGAGGAAAATGAGGAGTCACTAGGGAAGACATGAGCAAGTCTGTTCTCGCAGCTGCTCCGCTTTCTCCCAGAACAAATATTCCAGAACCCCAGTTCTTTAACAGCAAGTGTCAAAATAGTCCAGAGTTTTCCTCCGCGTGTTCCTTCTTAGGAAGCTCCAAAGCATGGGAAATTGACCGTGCCTTGCCCCCAGGCCTCAGGGCCGGGTGGACACTTAGGTGTCGCCGAGGCTTTGGAGGCGGAAAAACATCTTCCCAATGAGACTGCCCAGGTGGTGGGATCAGGGAAGGCCCTTTTGGCCTCCCACCCACCCCCTCCATGGTTTCCACCTTCGTGGCCTTTTCTGCCTGGTGATGTTTTGGTGCATAAACCGCCAATGTGTAGATGCTTAATTGGGTGGATTTTTGGTCACATGCCCAGAGTAAAGTTGATGATCTCTGCCAGGGTCAGGAAGGAATTTTCCTCCTCTGGCAAACTGGCCAAGCCTGGGTGGTTTGCTCCTTCCCCTCTCTCTGGAAGGCTGAGCAGAGGTGCCTGGTTGCTCAGGGCATGGGCACCACACCTGTGATTGCTGCCTCTGACTCCTGTGGGGGCGAGAAGCCCAGAGGCCTGACCCTCTGACTGCGCGGACCCTCCCTGTGCACATTTGGTGAGTGAGCTGGCTCTCAGAAGGGCTAAGAAGCCACTGGAGGCACCGGGGATCTGAGCCCCTTGCTATCACTGTGTCATTCCAAAAGGCACCTGCGGCCAGCCTTTCTCGTGCATGGAAGGGAACCCACCTGATTCCCTCTCCTTGTGTGGCTTGTGCTTGAGCCTTTCATATGTACTAGGCAGCTACAATGGTAGTTGGGGGGGAAATCGATTCCAAAAGCTGTGGGTGTATTGATGGGCAGTGGGTGAGGATCCAAAGTGCTCAAGGGACCTGGCTGGCCCAGGCAAAGAATGTCCAGAGCCCACTGCTACAAGTAGTGGACCTAGGCGGGAAGGGAGAATAGGAAGCTGGGGGGACTTGGCAGAGCCGAAAGTTTAACCTCCATTTGTTGTGGTTGGATTTTACTCCAATCTAGTGAGCTTGCTTGACCACAGTATCCTGTATAACCGACATATATGCATGTGTGTGTGCGTGCACATGTCTGGATGTGTCGGTCCCTTCAGGTGGGTGCCTGTGGAAAATCACGGAGCCAGGGCACATCTCAGCTCCCCCTCATCAGTGTGTTCATTTAGTGAGTGAAGAACGGAGGCACAAGAGGTGGAATCACGGCCCCCCCAGTCCAGTGTTCTTTCTGTGATGACAAACCAGCCCGCACCTCAAAAAACAAAGCTGTGTGGCTAGAACAGCAGGCCCAGCGCCCTCCTTAGATCTCCTCTCTTGTCCTGTGGTTGACTCCTGGTCTAACCCAGTGCTTCTTAACCATGTTTTCATTGTCGTCCCCACTAAGGAGGCCTTTTAGATAACGTTTTCATAGTCATTACCACCGCATTACCACCCCCCCCCATAGATATCGTTTGTGTTTATATATATCGTTTATGTACCGTGGCCCTTTAGAGGACCATGAGACATGGTAATGTCTAAGATTTATTTGGACCCCCAAGAACCAATTTTTCCCATCTGAGGTCAATAGCACCCCCACTGGGAACACATGGTCAAACTTCAAGCCTGGGCCAACATATTGCTGGACTTCAATGTACTGGTTGAGAAATGGGGCTTAAAAATAGCTGTTCTTTCCCCTTACCCCCACCCAGTTCCACCTACACGAAAGAAATCTTAAGAGCCAAAATGTTCAATTATTGCAAGGACTTCGAGGGCCTCAGAAGCTGGGCCACTGCGTACAAAGTAGTTGCTATTCCTGAATGCTCATGCCTAGTGCATGCTGGCTAAGTGGTCAAAGTCTTTTGTGGAAAGACCAGGGTTAATAATACTCCTTCCTACTGTAATAGCAAAAAATAATTTTTAAAAATAAAAATGTGATGCTCTTATAAAAAACACTTTTCCAAGAAGCAAGAAATAATTACAGAAATAAAATAGCCCGTGGTACACCCGAGAGCCCTTTAAGGAAACTTAATGGATATAATTTGTTATAGAAGGTATTACCAAAGAGAATCAGATCTGATGCTGTGTACAGAAGTAGAGGAATTGCAGGGCAAGTAAGTAGGTTGGTATAAAAAGGAAAAGGAATCCTTAAAGGAGGTAAATCTCCCGTTGATCAAAAATAGTCCTTATTTTTTATGATCAAATTCAATTTACCAAATGACTTTTGAGGTGTAAGTGAAGACGTGCTGCTCACTGCTGTTGTGTTTTTTCATCTGGAAGATTTCTAATTGATAGGGAAGACCTGGGGACAGTTTTCTATTTTCTTCCATACAGAGTACACCCCTCCTTTCTCCAAACCTCCCCATGAAGGTCACGTCAGAGGTCAGCCATCTTCTTCCTCCGTTTTCTGACACTTTACCTTTAGCCCTCAGTTAGGGGAGCTTTTCTGAGGTTGCGTCCAGAATGCAGAAGGGGCTTTGGGCTACAGGAGCTCCTACCTCCCTCATACCTCCCACTCCCACCCCGCTTCATCCCACCCGCCCTCCTCCTGCTCAGGATATAAAACCAGCCAATCCGTGGGAAAATCAGAGTCCAAACTCAGGCAGCCTTGACCTCTGTTTGCTACGGCTCCCAGGGGGAGATCCATGAGCTTGATAACCCACCAAGCAGATTAACCCTTTGTGGGCATAAAAAAAGAGGCTTCCCAGTGAGGTCTGGTTATTCTCTAATAATGGCCCAGAAAGGGTGCCAGAGTGTGAGAATTTGAACTCGGTTATCTCTCTGTTCTTTGTTAATATCCAAATGTTCATGCCCATTTGATGAAGATAATGATGGTATATTTTCAAGCACCCCCAAAGAACTGGTCTTTGATTCTGAAATCACACAATCCTTGCCCTTCTCGGTATCAAGGTCCCTTTGATAAGTAAGTGTGTTAGGGTTGTGTCTGTGGGCAGATGTGACTGAGTGTTACTAGAAAAGAAAGCAAATGAGCCAAAATTCAGAAACCTTAAGAACTCTCTACAACACTACTGACACCCAGTAACCGTATGACCTTGAGCAAGTTACATGAACTCCTTGGGCCTTAACTGTCTCACTGTACGATGATGGGTTAAAGGGAAAGATTGGACTAATTCTGGACTTTTCAACATGTGGCACTCACACCACTTAATGATACGAGAGATAGATCTGGTCACAGGTAGGAAAACTTTCACTTAAAGGGCCAGACAGTATTTTAGCATATAAAGGCCAAAAGGCAAAATCAATTGTATTAGGTAGGTACTTACATAACCATTTACTATGTAACTATTTACAACTGTAAAATCATTTTTTAGCTGTGGACCATTCAAAAACAGGTGGTAGGCTGGAATGGGCCTCTAAGTTGTAGTTTGCTAACCTCTGATTGAGATGGTGCATCGACCAACGGTTTTTATTTCAATGTCTTTATTTTTATGCACGTTAAATGGATACTGACTTTCCATTTATTACAGTGATACCAACTTTTCCTTTTCAATAAATGGATTTATGTTAAAACAGAAAGGGAGTTGATTTTTTTAATGGATTAAGTAAATTATTGAGATGGCAGGCAAATGACTGAAGTTTGTGAAACATGAACTAGATGATTAATAAGCTTCTGGCCATCTGAAAATTCTAGACGCTTCATGTCCCAAGACCTGGCATTCAGTCTTTGTTCAGACCCTTGCCTACCACCTACGTGATCCTGAGCTGCTGGGTCCCCTTTGCAAAATGGGAAGAGAAGCACCCTATCTCACCAACATTATTGTGATAATCAGAAAAGAGAAGTCAGGCAAACAGATTTTTCTAATCCACCAAACATGAATTCTTTTTTTTTTTTTCCCTAAAATGTGGGAATATGGGAAGCAGCAAACTTGAAAGATGAGACCAGCATTGGGCAAGAATGCACGTGAGTGAGGGCCCCAAGCCCATTCCTTCCTGCTCCCTTTCCAGCCTTGACCAGACACCTTCTCCCAACTCTCCCTAGTCACCAGTGTGGGCAGGGAGTACAGCCCTGGGTTTAGGTTCCTGACTTCTTAGATGGGCAAACCTGAGTTGTCACCCATCCTCCACCATCTGCCAATTAGCTGGCATGGGGTATGTTCCCTGAAATCTTACAGCACACATCCTCATCACTTAGAGAACCACTACCAGATTCTGTCTCACAGTGTTTGTCCTGAGGAGACCATGAATAATGAATATAAAGTAGTAAAATGCTCGGCACAGAGCCCAACATGCAGTAAGTGTATGTTCCAATTACCACAGGTCCTTGCTCTCTTAACCAAAACCCTGAGGCTAGATGTGCTGCATAATTAAGAATCCTTTGGGTATTAGAAAGGTTTCCAGTGTATGTACCGCAGAATGCACAACATTCCTTCATAGGAATTGTAGGTATTGTATGTATCCTATGAATATTCATCAACTAGAATAAGTAAAACTATAATTATAGTCATGTATGTTTATATATGTATAATGTGTCACTTATATACATGTACACGTATACCTATATTTAGTGTAAGTTTTCTATGCCTTATACGGATGTATGGATATAATATATACATAACCCAACATAAAACTCTTTAACGTTAATTGAGAACTATTGACGGGGGGCGGGGGGTTGTTCTGCAGGAAAATAAATTTGTACCCAACACACACACATACTTTCAATTTCAGAGCTTTCGGATTTCAGAATTGTGGGTAAGGGTTTGTGGGTATATTAATGTATAGCAATTCTTGCCCAACTTTCAGAAGCATATCGTTACACAGTACAAGCCAGAGTTCAGGGGCCAGATATGAGCCGGTAGGAAAAGTAAAGAAAGAAGCAGTATTATATCACAAGAGCCTCCATCTTAAAACCTGAGCTTTGCCACTTACTGGCCATGTTACGTGGGCAACTGTTTTTTAGCCCCTCTGCCTATGTTTTCTCATAGATACACCGGGGATAGATGTGCAGACCTCACAGGTGTGTGGCAAGGATTGAATACCATCATTGTGGCAAGCACTTAAGGGGCACCTGGTTCCTAGGAGGCTACATGTTTGTTATTAAAACCCAAGTGTGGGGGGCACCTGGGTGGCTCAGTCAATTAAGCATCCGACTTCAGCTCAGGTCATGATCTTACGGTTCATGGGTTCCAGGCCTGCATCGGGCTCTGTGTTGACAGTTGGAGCCTGGAGACCTGCTTTAGATTTAATCTCTCTCTCTCTCTCTCTCTCTCTCTCTCTCTCTCTCTGTCCTTCCCCCACTTGCATTCTGTCTCTCTTTCTCTCTCAAAAATAAATAAACATTAAAAAAAATTTTTTAAACAAAAACCAAGTGTGCCAGCTGGGGGCTCCTGCTGGGTGGCCTTCGTCTGCCTCCTCACAGTCCTCTCCTGCTGTTGCAGGGTGATGTTGGACTCAGTGACCCACAGCACCTTCCTACCCAACACGTCCTTCTGCGACCCCCTGATGTCGTGGACTGATCTGTTCAGCAATGAAGAGTATTATCCTGCCTTTGAGCATCAGACAGGTACGTACGTCCAGAGAAGCCCATCTGATCTGGGAGGAGCAGGGGCAGGAGGTGGCGCTGGCCCCCAGGAGGCGGCAAGGCCACCTAGGGGCCTGAAAATGCCAGTTCTCGCCAGCGTTCAGGCAGAGCACTGGAGGAGGTCTGGGCGGCAGGAAGGACAACTTCTGCAGGAAGAAAAGCACTGGAAACCCTCACCCCAACCTCCTCCCAGCTCTGTGGGCTTGGGGACTCCACTAACCTCTTCGAACCTCATTTTGCTAACAGATAATAATGCCAATATCTTGGAGTTATTGTATTTAAACAATGTAGTGGAAAGAAACTCTTAGCCCGGAGCCTAGTACACTGTGATTGCTTGATTATCATGGTTTTAGCTAACATTTGCTGAATCCTAGCACTATTTCACCCACCAAGCACCCACCTCATCCTTGTAGAAGACCTATGAGAAACAATCAATTATCATTTCTATTTTATGGATGAAGAAACTGAGGCACAGAGAGGTTAAGTGACTTGTCCAAGGTCTTACGGTTAGTTAAGCTTCACTCAAGTTGACTTGAGCACCTGTACCCTTAACTCTCCTACACGGTCATTTTAGGAATGATATTACCCTATGGTTATTGATACTAATGTTAGTGGTTTTCTCTGAGCTTCTGTTTCTTTATCCCTAAAGCAGAGATGATGAGAATCGCTGTGAGGATTAAGGGAGCCAAACTGTGTAAAACGTATAGCTTGGCACAAAGCAAGTACTCAGTAAACACGAATCCTCCCCCACCCCCTAGGCCTCCCTTCACCCACCTCGTCCTCTCTCAGCCAGTCTTCTCCACCTACAAAGGAAGCATGGGGCTTTATGCAAATCCCATGCGCAGGGGAGGCCAGCTGAGCTTTGCCCCAGAATCTTTCCGAGGGCCTCTGTCCCCAGGTGCTCGGGTGACTGCACATCACAGCAAACCTGGCAGACTGCTATCGCGGCAGGTGCGCACCCTGAGGCTGGTGATGCAAGTCCTAACCAAGCTGTCAGTCCTCGTGGGGCCTTAACCCTGTGCATCCCAGCTTGGCGTGGTCCACGCCCAGGGGCAGGAGACAGGTGGGTCCAGCAGAGGCCACGCCTCCGAGGATGCGGCAAAATGTCCGTCACCTGAGGAAAGCCCCTGCCTCCAGGCCAGAGGCCAGCGCTGCACAGACTTGAGGCACTTACCTCTATAATCCAGTCCTGCACGGCTCCCAACACCAATCTGTGCGTACACGCACACACCTGATGTCTCTCACTCTATCTGAAGGGTCCTGAGTCAGCCAGATACATATTCCAATTCTCCTTAAGGCCTAGGAAGCACCTCGTTTCCTAAATTTGAAGGAGGAAAGGGAAGGCTTTCATGTCTGCACCGTTTCCCCATGTGTCCCATGATGGCAGGACCCAGAGAGAAGGTCCTTCCCTCTCCCCCATGCATGACCCAGACCTGCCATCCTGGGAGGCCCCTCTCCCTGCCTCCTCTGCCAGGTGGCAGCGGGGTGGCGGCAGGAGGGGCGCCCTCAGCCACCTGCCCCAGGGAAGTATTGCAGGTACTGGAACAGTTTATGTTGTCCTCAAGAGCTCAGACCTCGGAGCCAGGCATCCCAACTGCGAAGTCTGGCTTTGATATTTAATACCTGTGCCATCATAATTTCTCGTGCCTCAGTCTTCTCATCTGTAAAGTGGAGATAGCAATAATGCCTACCTCGTAGGATTGTTGTGAGGGTGACTTACTAATATATGTCAAGTGTTTGGGACACAGTCAGACACAGGACAAGCACACACATGCGTTTAAAAATGAAGGGCAGGGGCGTCTGGGTGGCTCGGTCGGTTAAGCGTCCAACTCTTGATTTCAGCTCAGGTCATGATCCCAGGATGGTGAGATCAAGTCCAACGTTGGGCTCCACACTCAGCATGGAGCCTGCTGGGGATTCTCTCTCCCTCTCTCTGCCCCTCCCACACTCAAGCTCTCTCTCCCTAAAAAAATAAATAAGTGAAAACTGAAGGACTACTTTCAGTTTGGGAAGATGAGAAAGTGGTAGTTTCACCACAGGCAGTGGCGATGGCTGCACAGTAATGTAAATAAATGTGCTTAATGCCATGCAACTCTACACGTAAAAAGAATTAAACGGTAAATCTTAGTTCTATTTTACCACAGTAAAAAAGTACAAAAAATTGGAGTGATCATCAATAAGACTGCTGATGGGGCTGAAACCCAACAGTCTTAGATAAAAAGACACAGCGTTCTCCTGCCCGAGGCCCCTGCATTTCCATCAGTGTAACAAGGGGATGGACCAGGTCTTTGCTGGGACCCTTTCCAGAAGCTTCTCTAATTCCTGCACCACAGATGTAGCCTTCTTCTCCTACGACCCACTGAGAAAACACAAAGTCCCACCAAGGCATGAGGCCAGTGAAGATAAAATACCCTCCAGGAGTGGCCCAGCTCCCTAATACTCCCTGAGGGAGGAGCCCGGCTTTGGAGTTGCCACCTGGCCGCCCTGGATTCCAGAAGGAGCCGAACGTCTCTGGCCTCCCAAAGGTGGTGAGAGAAGCTGGATGTGAGAGGGTGGTTGAGAGCTTCCCCGGGCACCGGGTGGGCCCTGCAGGCCCCGGCTCTCCTCAGAGCGCCACCGACGGGAGGAGTGCCCAGCAGGGCCTCTCTCTGTCTCTTCTCACCCAGAGACGGGACGCATCCGTCCACGCGTGCGCAGAGCCGTCTCTGAGCGGGACGCCGCCGACTCACCCCGACGCCGCCCCGCACGCCGCCTGCACTCAGGCCTCACGGAGATCCCTCCGCAGCCTCACAGAACGCCCCACCTCGCATTCATTCGCGGTTGCCCCAGCCGCAGCTTCCTCTTCGGGTCTGGCTGCCGCCCTCACCTACCACCGGCACCACGACCTTCGCAGGTGTTTTCTAACATCTCTGAGATATACGCTCCCAGCCGGACGCTCCCAGCCGGACGCTCCCAGCCGGAACGGCCTTTGCCCCCTCAGGGTTGGGAGGGCTGATACTCCACACGGAAAGCGTTTCAGGCAATGCCAGGCCCTTGGGAGGGAGGTGCTCACGTTGCCAGGGACACCTCACGACTCCCAGTTGGTGGAAAACCTGCTCCTCTCTCCATTCTTCATATTGAACAAAAGCAACTAAGGTCCCCATCTCATTCTTTCTGACACGGAATTTGACAGCTTAGGTACTTTGAGACCAAGGGGAAAGAAAAGGAGAAAGAAAGGGTGTGCCCGCTAGAGAGGAATAATGAACGTGGTCAGGAAAACCAGCTGTTTCCCCAAGCTCTGCAAATGGCTTTAGCAGACAGCCGCTCAATCTGTGCCCTCCACAGAGGACCCGACCTGCCCTTTGAAGCGCGACTGGTGTGCGCCGCACGGGCAGCCTGGGGAGTGGATGGTCACAGATTGCAAAATACTCTAGAGTTTCATTAACTCACCCTGGCGTTCCCTTCTGCTCTCCTCAACTGAAGAACTACAAATACTGGAAAATTTTATCAAAGCGCGGCAGGCGTGCTGCATATATTTTACAAGCATATGAGACTTTGTAAAAGATGATTTCTCCGCTCAAGTTCTGACAAGTCACGGAGTGTCCTGGCCTCACACTTAGCTTCTGGCTCTCCCTCCTGAACCTCCACACACGCATATACCCCTCCCCATGCTGGGCAGGGTCACCACGCCCACATGCGGTCCTCCCTCTGCCTTGGATTCCGGTTCATACTTTGCAGCAGAGGATTCTAGACCGGGGCAGTTCTGGGGGTTCCTGGGGGGTCCCTCGGGGACCTGGGGTGACAGCTGAGAAGGCCAGGCTCCGGCTCCCCCTCCCGCTCCCCACCCTCAAGCAAGTGTCTTCACCTGGAAGACAGCACAGCGCAGTGGCCGCTAAGCCTCAGCTGTAGGGACTGAGGTACACATACCTGACCTACTCTTGGCTCTGCTGCTCACTCGCTGTGTGACCTCACAAAGCGATTTCACCTCTCTGTGCCTTACTTTCTTGGTTTACTTTGTAAAATGGGCGAGGTGATCTAGGACCTGGTGGCACTGTGTGGAGTATAACATGGGCACAGAGTCCAGAAGGGTAACTCCTACGTCCTAACACTCCACAGATGTGTCAGCTATTGTTACGCCAGGGGAAATTTTATTTACCTTTTTTATTTGTTGATGTTTTTATTTATTTTTGAGACAGAGAGAAAGTAGGAGCTGGGGAGGGGCAGAGAAAGATTGAGACAGGAACTGGAGCTGTCAGCACGGAGCCTGACGCGGGGCTCAAACTCACGAGCCATGAGATCATGACCTGAGCCGAAGTCAGACGCTCAGCTGGCAGAGCCAGCCAGGCGCCCCTGGGAAATTTTATTTAAATAAAGAACTTTATTTGAAAAGGTGCAAAGCTTTTTGGGTGTTAATATCCGGAAGATCAGGGAGAGAGGCATTTAGGTCCCATGCGGGCTTTTCTAAGCAAGAATCATGTGCTGAGTATAGAAGTCTGAGAGCACACTCAAAAGAAACAGTCTAAGAATTTCTAAATCAAAATCAGATAAATAAGGCGCACCTGGGTGGCTCAGTCGGTTAAGCATCCGACTTCAGCTCAGGTCATGATCTCACCGCTCATGGGTTCAAGCCCTGCCTGGGGCTCTGTATAAACAGCTCAGAGCCTGGAGCCCGCTTTGGATTCTGTGTCTCCCTCTCTCTCTGCCCCTCCCCCACTCGCACTCTACCTCTCTCTCAAAAATGAATAAATGTTAAAAAAAAAAATTTAAAAACCAGATAAATAAAGTCCACTGAGAAGTGTTGAGGGGAGCCCATGGCAGTGATCACATCCCAGGAGCACTGGCAGAGAGAGACCTCAGAGCTCACCACTGCTACCCTATCCAGCACACACCTGAGCAGCTGTGGCCTCAGGACCGCTCAGGACTTCCCTGTGCCCTCCCAGCCTCACCTGCCCCAGGCCACAGCTCTTTGCGGACACCCACCAGCCCTTTCCAGTGTTTTCTCC